TGTAGGGAATGCATTGATAACATCTTATTTTAAATGTGGTTTTCCTAGTTCAGGAATGCAGGTTTTTGATGAGATGCTTGAAAGGAATGTTATTACTTGGACTGCAATAATATCAGGGCTAGTACAAAGTGAATTATACAGGGATAGTTTGAGATTGTTTGTGGACATGACTAATGGATTGGTAGAACCGAATTCTTTGACGTATTTGAGTTCATTGATGGCGTGTTCAGGTCTGCAGGCATTGAGAGAAGGGTGTCAAATTCATGGACGTTTATGGAAATTGGGTCTTCAATCAGATTTCTGTGTTGAAAGTGCGCTAATGGACATGTATTCAAAATGTGGAAGCATGGGAGATGCTTTGCAGATTTTTGAGTCTGCAGGACAACTTGATGAGGTTTCCATGACTATAATTCTTGCGGGTTTTGCACAAAATGGGTTGGAGGAAGAAGCTATGCAATTTTTTGTGAAAATGTTAGAGGCAGGAACTGAGATTGATCCCAACATGGTTTCAGCTGTCCTTGGGGTTTTTGGTGCAGATACATCCTTGGGTCTTGGCCAGCAAATTCACTCATTAGTTATCAAACGGAGCTTTGGTTCTAATCCCTTTGTTGGCAATGGGCTTATTAATATGTACTCAAAGTGTGGAGATTTGGAGGATTCGACCAAAGTCTTCAGTCGAATGCCTTGCATGAACTCAATCTCTTGGAACTCTATGATAGCTGCTTTTGCTCGTCATGGGGATGGCTCTAGAGCACTGCAGTTATATAAAGAGATGAGATTGAAAGGTGTAGAGCCAACAGATGTTACGTTTCTCTCATTGCTTCATGCTTGTAGCCATGTAGGCTTAGTTGAAAAAGGCATGGAGTTCTTAAAATCCATGACTGAAGTTCATAAGCTTACTCCTAGAATGGAGCACTATGCTTGTGTTGTTGACATGTTAGGCCGAGCAGGGCTTCTTAATGAAGCTAAGACTTTTATTGAGGGATTACCTATGAAGCCTGACGTGCTTGTTTGGCAGGCATTGCTAGGAGCTTGTGGCATTCATGGAGATCCTGAAATGGGGAAATATGCAGCTGAGCAGTTAATTTTATCAGCACCTGAGAAGCCTTCTCCTTACGTTTTGTTGGCGAATATATATTCTTCTAAAGGAAGATGGAAAGAAAGAGCAAAGACTATTAAGAGAATGAAAGAAATGTGTGTTGCCAAAGAAACTGGAATAAGTTGGATTGAGATTGAAAATAACTTGCACAGCTTTGTTGTCGAAGATAAAATGCACCCACAAGCTGAGATCATATATGGAGTTTTGGCAGAGTTGTTTGGGCACATGATAGATGAAGGTTATGTGCCAGATAAGAGATACATTCTCTCCTACGTGAATCAAGATGAAAAGGGATTGCTGATGAATGATGATCGATTACTAGCTAGTAAACTAAGCTTTGAAGAAAATTAAGGGGACTGATATGCCATCGGTCATTACAATTTGGAAAGAAAGGCTGAATCTCTGCATGAATTTTGTAAGTCTAGTCCTCCAAATATAATTTTTTCAAATATTGAATAAATGATGAGTCTTGTTTTGATGTGTTAACCAGTTTTTTTCCTACCAAAAACAACGTGGTTTCAGATTTTTTATTGAAAAAATTCTCTAAAACGAGCTTTTCAAGTTTTTTTTTTTAATATAAATCATAATTTAAGTTGATCTACCTAATCTGCAAACTGAGTCGACCCCGAATTGAATCTGTTAATGATAGCTGAATTGGCTTATGCCCAGTATCATAATGTTCAAACTGGAAGGCAGCTAGAGCGTATTTGGCATCCAGCTCATTGCTCTTGCTGGCATGGGGTATACATTAATGATCATACACAACCTGACTTAAACTAAGGAAATTAGTCAGCTTTTGCAAGCTATGACCATAGTTCATAATCTGACATCAATGGAGGTCCTCAGTGATCGTTCGTGCAAGTGGGGTCTGTTAGCGGCATCAAATGCAAGAATAAAAAGTACCATCTAGACGGCTTCTTCCGGCCCCAGTACTCAATCATTCTTTCTTTTCCTGTATTGTAGTTGTTAGATGCATTAATTTTATTTTTTTTTTTACTTTTTGGTTTTTTTTTTCCAACCCCCTCCCCCTTCCCCAATCCTTTTTGTTTATTTTTTTTCTAAAATTACTTCCCTTTTTTTCCAACTTTTCTTTTTTTTTTTTTATATATTTTTATTTGTTTAAATTATCTTTATAGATTTTGTTTTTTTAATATTAAACTGATTAAAAATTTTATTTTATATTTTTTATTTAAAATATTATGAATTATTATGATGTTTTTTCACATAATTTTTTTATTTTTCAAAATTATTTTGTTGATTTTATTTTTTAAATATTAAACTGATTGAAAATTTAATTTTATAATTTTTTTAAAATATTGTTGATTGTTACAGTATTTCTCTGTTTTTGTTTTTGATCATTTTCTCTGAAATTATCCTTTTTAATTTTATTTTTTAATATTAAATTGATTAAAAATTACAATTATAATATGTGAAAAAATCACTTTAACTTTTCTCACAAATTACTGTGAATTGCCATAATATTTTTTTCTACATGTTTTTTTTTCTAGTTTTTTTTGTTATATATTTTTTAAAATTATCTTTGTTGATTTTTCTTTAATGTTAAGTTGGTTATAATTTAACTATGTAATAAAATTTAATAATGTGGAGAAAATATTGTAGCTTTTCTTACAAAATACTGTAGATTGCTAGAGTATCTCTTCATATATTTTTTTATTTTATGATTTTTTTTAAAATTATCTTTGTTAATTTTTTTTTTAATATTGAGCTGGTTGAGAATTACAATCACAAGTTATTACAAATAAAGCTAAATTATGTGGGGAAGCACTGTAGCTTTCATTACAAAACACTATGGATTATTATAGTGTTTCCAACATGTTTTTTTTTTTGTTTTTCCTGTTGTTTCTGTTATTTTTTTCTAAAATTATCTTTATTGATTTTATTTTTTTAATATTAAGCTTATTAAGAATTTAACTTTGTAATTCTTTTCTTTAAAACATTATGAATTGTTGCAGTGTTTTCCTATATGATTTTTTTCAAAATTTTATTTGTTAATTTTTTTAATACTAAGTTTGTTAAGAATTATAATTACAATAAAACTAAATCATATGAGGAAAGTGTTATAATTTTTTTCATAAAATACTGTGAATTACTACAATATTTATTTAAATGATTTTTTTTATAATTTTTTCTAAAATTGTCTTTATCTACCTTATTGAAGAAATTACTGTAATTTTCTTTACAAAACATTATCAATTGTTATAATATTTTTTTCTTATGAGTTTTTTTCTTATAAAAATTATCTTTGTTGGTTTTTCTTTTAATATCAAGTTGGTATAGAATTTAGTTTTATAATTTTTTTTTTATTTTTTATTAACATAAAAGTTAAATCATGTTGCGAAAGTACTATATTTTTCCTTACAAAATACTATAGATTGCTACAAATTATTTTTTTTCAATCTTCAAGTTTTTTATCACCAACACAATCTTTTTTTTTTCTGTCATGAAATATTGACTTCATTATATCGTTACGTTTTATTACTTATATAGCTGGTTTATAATTATAACACTATTAAATATATTTATTTTATAAACTCATAATAGCACACGAGCATACCATCTCATTTCTCATTACACCATAACCATCATTTATAGATTTATTCAGATATAATGAGTTATTGACAGTGTTATAGGTGGTCTATTTGGACCTATCTGACTTGCTTTTTGTCTTGATAAAAAATTAAATTAGAATTTATTTAATTAATCTATATGCGATTCTTGATATGTTTTTTAAATAATATTATTTTAATTTTTTAATTAATTATATCAACTTAAATTAATCCATCTCGTTTATAATTTAAATTTTACATCAATTCAATCAAAATTGAGTTTATTAAGGTTAGGTTTAATCATGAGCGTTGATTGCTATAGTAATTTCAAGTTATTATTACTTGTATTTATTATGACAAAAATTAATTAAGTAAATAGTAACTCAAATAAAATTGAAATAATGGTTATTTGAAGCCATAAAAATAAAAATATAAATTAATGTAATATACTAGATTGATAGTTAGTGATATGTTTTAAGTTAAGCTAAATTTTTAAAAATAAAAATAAAATAATAAGGTGATGATAGAATTTTTTTTAAAATAAAAAAATTTAATATTCGAGTCATTAACTTGATTTTATTTAATCTACATAAATAATTTAATAATATAATTACTCAATGATTAATTAAAAATAATACACACTTAGAATATTACGAAAAAAACATCTTTTTAATTTTTAATAATAATAAAATAAAAAAATATGACAACTTCGTAGAAAAAAAAGTCTAAAGTTTAGTTATTATAAAAGTTAAAGTATTAAAATTTTTTTTATAAAAAAACTGATTACCTAGTAAGCGATTCCTCCCTCAGTTTCCAAACTGCCTTCACAAACTGTTCGTTTCCGCAAAAACTGAACTAACGCACTTGTTTACTTGCTGGGAGTTTACCAGCTTCCATTGGAGATCTTTCAACAGACCTCTATTATTTCAATCTTTTGAATAGCAGTATAAGAGGAGAGATTCTGGATGGTATTGGCAACCTGAGTGGTCTCGTGACCCTAAATCTGCAGGAAAATTACTTGGATGGAACAACTCCAGCAACTTCTGGAAAGCAGAGGCATTTGCAGAGACTGAAATTGGGGAGCAACAGACTTCATGGATTTCTCCCAGATGAAATGTTGCAGATGGAAGAACTTGGTATTCTTGGTGTTAGCAAGAACTTCATAGCTGGTTCAATCCCATCTGGGCTTGGAAAACTCTCACACAGTTGAGATGTCTTTACCTGTCTCATAACAACTGATCAGGACGCATTCCTATCGAACTTACTCACTGTTCTGTCATGATGCTGTTGGATTTATCCTTTAACTACTTGCATGGCTCTCTTCCCACAGAAATTGATAGAAGGAGGATAAATATGTTCTGTATTTTGTAAAACTAAATAATTTGTCAATTTAATCCATTTTGCTATGAAAAAGTGTTATAATTAGTAAAACAATTATCAAAATAAAAGGAAAAAGAAAAGACAAAAAAAGTTATTGCATGGATAATTGTTCCACCAAAGTTAATATCCAAGTCAGATATTTTTTAGGAAACTACAATTTAGTCCCAATCCCAAAAACTCATTCTCAGTTGAGTCTCAGACCTATAAAGTTTATCGATTCGATCCAAAATATTTCAAAAAACTTCTCAATTGCATCTTTCCATTAATGTTCATTGACATATTTGTCAATTTCTCTTCAAATTGATGCCTGCTTTAGTGCATAAATATGCACATTAGACCGATAATTTTAACATTTATTAACCTTTTCCCCTCAATTTTTCTTCAAAATGATTATATTTTGGTTCAAAAATATGCACATTAAACTTAAATTATTAAAATGAATAGACAAAGGGAGATGATTGAGAACTGTAAAGAAAAAGTCTGGGATTTAATTGATAAATTTATAGGTTTGAGATGCATCTGAGGATGAATATATTTTATTTTGGGACTAAATTGAGGTTTCTCTTTTTTAATCTATTTCCAAGTCAGAAATCACTAATGCCAGAAGAAGAACCTTGAAAACGCACCGTTTTTCTCCCTCCACAAAAAATCCCAACTGCCATCTCTCCGAAGCCACTAGTTAGTTAAAAAGCAGGGGTAGAAACACCATCACAACCACAGAGCAGAAAAATGGAGTCCTTGTGTTTCTACAGTTCTCTCCCTCCAATCCCTCCATTTCAAAAAACCGTTACAAACCCCAATAACTGTCACAACTTTCCCTCCAAAACAATCCCACTTCGTTTATTCCCTTCTCTTTCAACTTCTTCTAAGTTCAAACCTCATTGCTTAGGGAGAGCTGAAGAGGATTCCCCTCTCTCCACTTCTTCAGCTTACACAGTACTTGGCATCAAGCCTGGTTGCTCTGCTGCCGCGATCAAAGCAGCTTTCAGGGCTAAAGTATGAAGACATTCACTTTGATTTAGTCGATGTAATATAAATATAGTGCTAACATTAGTGGTAATTGTCTAATAATATATGTTTATAGTTGATCATTCATTTAATGAAAATCCAATGTCATTGATTATTTTGTTTTTTTGGTGTATAAAGGTGAAGCAATTTCATCCTGATCTTAATAAGGATGGCAAGGTCTCTGATTTAATGATTCGCCGCGTAATTCAAGCGTATGAGGTACTCAAAATATTGAATTTGTGATGATTAGTGAGAGTTCGAAGATGATTGTGATTTTTTTGTGCTAATGATTTTTGTAGATGTTATCTAATTTCAGCCGTCCAGAGATCATTGAAAGGTGAAATTTGATGGATTTTGGTCATTAACTTTGAATTTTTTATTTTATTTGACTTGCTAAATGCTTGGAGATGCATTTGTAGGGAATGTTTGGATCCATTTGAAGAGCCAGAGTGTGAAGCATTTGATATCTTTGTTAATGAAGTTCTTTGTGTCGGCAAAGGTATTAATGTTAATTCTAGATATGCCATGTTCTAACCTTGTCTGAAATGAGAGTTTAGGGTTTCAAATCTTCACGAGCTTACATGTTGAGGAACAAGACTGTTGATGAACTCTCTGTCACTTCAATTCCTAGTTAGGACCTTAACTGGGTCAGAGCCCTTTTTGAGTTTTTCACCCGTACCGTTCAACATATTTGCAGGGTGTCCATATTCATGCGTGCAAAGAGCCCCTTATGCCTTCACTTATGCTTCTTCAACTGGAACTGCACGGGCGACATCTCAAGGTTGGTCTACTATCTAGTGATCAGATTTTCTGGTGTCTGGGTCTTTCTGAGCTTGCCTCTACGAAAAAGCAGCTACGCAAAAGGCCGAGACATGAAAAAATTGCAGTTCAAAAGTGTAATAATCCTATAGATTGGAGTTAAAAATGGAAAAGAAATGTTGGTGTGTGATTGAGTACCAATTAAGGACATGAATTCTTACTAAAATTTTCGATTTTAAATTCGGTTTAATCAGGGCATGGCGAAGACTACCAAGTTCAGCTTGCAGTTGGTCAATGCCCCAGAAGCTGTATTCATTATGTTACACCTTCACAGAGGATTATACTTGAGGAATTACTTGACAGGTTACTATTTTTCACAGTCCCCGGAAAATTTTGCTGATGAACTATAGGCTCTTTGAAGTGACGCAACAGAGAAAATACAGCCACTTCACCAGTAATCCATTATGGTTTACTTCCTATGTCTTATCATTAATTGGTGCATGGATTGATAATGCAGTATCTTGGAGGTGCCTTATGACTGTTCAGCTGAGGCAGACTTGCTTTATTCACTTATCGTTAAAGCTAGGTTCGAGAACAATCGGTTCAGGAAGCCAAAGAAGCAACCAAAGACCTCAACCAAACATGTAGATTGGTTTTGACTTTGAAACTCTCAGTGAAGCAGTATCAACATCTATACTTTCAGATTTTGTGTGCTTCTTAGGACTCCAAATGCAATACTGAATTTCAAAAAAGTTACCAATTCTGCAATCGGTTAATATGTGAGACTTTCTGATATCAATATATTATTGGAAAAAAAAAGCGAAGGATCCATGGGGGATCTCTTCTTCAAACCCTGTGCCTCCAGTACCTGGCCCCAATCCATTTCTCAAACAACAGAAATGCTTGCTAGACACAGGTTGTACAACCCTTCCACGCCCTGTTTGCTGCAGTTCATTGCATTGTACATCTCCACTCCTTGAGCAATGCATCCCTCAAGTTCCCTGATTAATGTGTCCCCTACTTCCTTGAGTAGGGGATTTGTATGGCATATCTTCAGTTCAGGAATGCTAAGTTTTAGGTATCAGGCAGAGAATAAAGTTTCATATTTTGTTCCTTTTGGGATCCAGTGTCTTGTATGATAATCACTCCTCCCTTTGACATTTTTAATTTGAACTGGCTATAGTTTACTGTGGGCATCTTATATAGACCACTGAACAACTGGAAGGAAAAGAGGATTGAATAATAGTAGTGTGTTGAACTTGGTTATTGCTTGCTATGACCGATGCTCGTATTTTTAATTACTCATTGGGGTCCTCAACTCAGGTTTCTGACATGTATGAGCGAGGATCATAAAATACTTATCTCGATTGCTGCCAGAGAATTGATGTGTTGCCAACAAAATATGATAAATTCACCTAATATCTTATCACCGAGCAGGTAGGGAAAATGGATCAACTTGCAGCCATTTGCAAGTGGGTTCTACTAGGGCAGGTGGTTTGACTAATTCTTCTTGGCTTTCTTCACATATTAAGTTAATATTTACCTTAAAAGTCTTAGAAAAAATGAAGAAATAGTACAAACAAAATCACTATTGTGTCTGCTCATCAAGGAGCATTTTGTTCCAACATCTCTGCTAAGAAAGAGCAAAAGAGAGGATGCCATACCATCAAAACTTCACTGTGACAGTCTTCTGTCTCATCTGTTATCTCATGCCAGCAAAATCAGCATTTGTTTGCAATTTTACTGATTGTCAAGCCCTTTTCAAATTCAAGGCAGGCATAATAAGTGATCCAGAAGGTCAACTCCAAGATTGGAAGGAAGCCAATCCCTTCTGTAACTGGACTGGTATTACATGCCACCAATCTATCCAAAACCGGGTTATAGATCTCGAGCTCACAAACATGGACTTACAAGGAAGTATATCACCATTTCTATCCAATCTTTCTCTTCTCACCAAGCTTTCTTTGCAGAGTAATAGTTTCCATGGAGAAATCCCAACTACCTTGGGAGTACTCTCACAGCTAGAATATCTGAATATGAGTGAAAATAAGCTCACCGGTGCCTTTCCAGCTTCACTACATGGTTGCCAAAGCTTGAAATTTCTAGACTTGACTACCAATAGCCTGTCTGGGGTCATTCCTGAAGAACTTGGTTGGATGAAGAACCTGACATTTTTAGCTATCTCTCAAAACAACCTCACTGGGGTCATTCCAGCCTTTTTATCAAACCTGACAGAATTGACCCGATTAGAATTAGCTGTGAATTACTTTACTGGTAAAATTCCATGGGAACTAGGAGCTTTGACCAGGCTAGAGATTTTGTATTTGCACCTGAACTTTCTTGAGGGAGCAATACCTGCATCACTAAGTAATTGCACTGCATTACGTGAAATTTCATTGATTGAGAATCGGATATCAGGAGAACTCCCTGCCGAAATGGGGAACAAGCTCCAAAACTTGCAGAAGTTGTATTTTATAAACAACAACATTTCTGGCAGGATTCCAGTGACATTCTCAAATCTTTCACAAATAACACTGCTTGATTTGAGTATCAATTACTTAGAGGGTGAGGTTCCTGAGGAACTGGGGAAGTTGAAGAACCTTGAGATCCTTTACCTTCATAGCAACAACCTGGTTAGCAATTCTTCTCTCAGTTTTCTTACTGCTCTTACAAACTGTTCATTTCTGCGGAAACTGCACTTAGGCTCGTGCTTATTTGCTGGGAGTTTACCAGCTTCCATTGGAAATCTGTCAAAAGACCTCTATTATTTCAATCTTTTGAATAACCGTATAAGGGGAGAGATTCCAGATAGTATTGGCAACTTGAGTGGCCTCGTGACCCTCCATGTTTGGGACAACCGATTGGATGGAACAATTCCAGCAACTTTTGGAAAGCTGAAGCTGTTGCAAAGACTATATTTGGGGAGAAACAAGCTTCAAGGTTCTATTCCAGATGAAATGGGGCAGATGGAAAACCTTGGTTTACTTGATCTTGGTAATAACTCCATAACTGGGTCAATCCCATCTTCATTTGGTAACCTCTCACAGTTGAGATACCTGGACCTATCTCAGAATAGCTTATCAGGAAATATTCCCATCAAACTCAGCCAGTGCACTCTCATGATGCAGCTGGATCTATCTTTTAACAATCTTCAGGGGCCTCTTCCACCAGAAATTACCCTTTTGGCTAACTTGGATCTCTTCCTCAACTTTTCAAATAACAATCTAGATGGGGAAATACCTGCAAGTATTGGAAAGCTGGTATCTGTACAAGCTATTGACTTGTCAGTGAATAAATTTTCTGGCATGATATCAAGTTCGATTGGAAGTTGTGCATCTTTGGAGTACTTGAACCTATCCAAGAATATGATTGAAGGTAAAATTCCAGAATCCTTGAAACAAATTACATATTTGAAAGTCCTGGACTTGTCTTTTAATCAATTAATAGGCAGAGTTCCGATCTGGCTTGCCAATGCCTCAGTGATGCAGAATTTTAATTTTTCCTATAATAGATTAACAGGAGAGGTTCCAAGTACGGGAAGGTTTAAAAATCTTAATGGAAGCTCATTGATAGGAAATGCAGGCTTGTGTGGTGGTTCTGCATTAATGAGACTCCAGCCATGTGTGGTTCAGAAGAAAAGGAGAAAGGTAAGGAAATGGGCATATTATTTGCTTGCAATTACGATTAGTTGTTCTTTATTGCTCTTGATATTTGTCTGGGTCTGCGTTCGAAAATTATTTAGTAAGAAAGCCGAGGCAGAATCTGAAGAACCAATTCTAATGGCTTCGCCATCCTTTAATGGAGGCCGAAATTTGACTCAAAGAGAGCTTGAAATTGCAACCAATGGTTTCAATGATGCCAATCTCTTGGGGAGAGGAAGCTTTGGATCTGTTTATAAAGCATGGATTGACGATAGCATATCTTGCGTTGCGGTTAAGGTTCTAAATGAAGACAATAGGCAGAATTACAAAAGCCTAAAAAGGGAGTGCCAAATACTGTCAGGAATTAAGCATCGGAATCTGGTTAAAATGATTGGATCAATCTGGAGTTCACAGTTCAAGGCTCTTATCCTTGAGTTTGTAGGTAATGGAAACTTGGAACAGCATCTTTATCCAAGTGAGTCTGAAGGAGAAAATTGTCGATTGACATTGAAGGAAAGATTAGGAATAGCAATAGATATTGCAAATGCCTTGGAGTATCTTCATGTGGGATGCTCAACTCAAGTCGTGCACTGTGATCTGAAACCACAAAATGTTCTTCTTGACGATGATATGGTGGCCCATGTTGCTGATTTTGGAATAGGAAAGCTCATTTTTGCTGATAAACCAACTGAATATTCTACCACAACAAGTGTTGTGCGAGGATCTGTTGGTTATATTCCTCCAGGTATGCATCTGATTGGCTTGTGGTAATGATTCATTTACTTGTGTAAACTAGTCTGCATACTCTATTCACCTGGCAGTGCATTAAGATTTATCCGACTGAGATGTATATTTTTCTTTCTTTCTTTTTTTCATTTTGCTGAGTGTACTTGCTGTTTGCAAACAGAATATGGACAGAGTACTGAAGTATCATCTAGAGGAGACATATATAGCTTCGGCATCATGCTGCTTGAATTGATAACGCGGAAGAAACCAACAAGCGAAATGTTTGCAGATGGACTTGATATAAGGAAGTGGGTGGACGCTGCATTTCCTCACCATATTTTGGAAATTATAGACATGTCATTAAAGCAGGAGTCACTTTCAGGAGATGCAAGTGGTGATTTACAAAAGCTCAAGCAATGCTGTCTTCATGTGCTAAATGCAGGGATGATGTGCACAGAAGAGAACCCACTGAGGCGTCCACCGATCTCTTTGGTCACAGGAGAGCTTCAGCATACTTGGAAAGAAATGGGATTTGACAGATTAAGCATGGCTGGAAAAGAATCATATGATTATGACAGTGTTTGATGATGTCAATGAAATTGAAGGTGTTAAAGCTTTTGTTTAGCTATCATTTCATTACAAAGAATATGTATTCTTCATTATGGATCGCATTCAAATGCTGCAATGAAAAAATTATAAGGAAAGCATAAAGTAGAAGGGTGTTCATAGTGGCTTGACAGATTGATTCTTGCAGCAATATGTACACATTACACGTTTTTTACTATGATTTCCTCTCTATAAGATTGTTTCTTCAGAATTCAGTCTTTGGATTTGAGATTATGTTTTTTATGTTCCGTGCGGCTTAAAACTAGCGTTTAAATGCATGAACTTGATGCTCCTGCAAAGTGTGAGGCCAAAGAAGGTTATCATGAAATTTTCAAGTGACAAGTAATGGTTGACGTTGCCAATATTTCTTAATACTGGTAATAAAAAAAGGCTAAACTCAGGTTGAAGGATGAAGAATTTTATATCGAACAATGTATAAATCCATGCTACAAATATTAGCAAGGGCACAAAACTTGGTTTCTGCATCCAAGCCTCCAAATTAATGCCCTGGTGACAGGAAGCTACTTGGAAATTACTCTCATGAATCGGTTAAGAGAAGAGAAAATGCCTGCTGCCTTGCTGAATAAAGAAGGTCCCTGCTCAGATTTCTCTTCTGCATTTCCAAATATTATCTGTAGACGATAAATAAGTAATCAATATACATAATTTTTTCATTAGAATCTTATTTTTCCCTGCTTATTCAATGCGGGGACTTCAAAACTTTCTGGTGGTAACTAACCTCGATTTCTTCCGCATCCGGACGTCTTACGAATTCTTGTGCAAGAAGATATCTGTTTGGCCTATCTTTATCATCATAAAAGACCTTCCACATCCTGGAAATGATTAGAGTGGAGAGAATGAGGAGTGCATGCAACTATCAGAGAGAATCAATACACCACAGGAAATATGACTGAATATTGTATAGAGCTTAGACCAAATGTGCCTAAAGGTGGTGGAAATGTTCTGAATGGCAAGTGACTCTTACCCTGGATAACACCTAAAGACAGCACCAGCTGGCAGAGGTCTCATTGAATAAACTGTTGTGAATGTGCTGCAAAATAGATGATATACAGCGAATTACTGTCACATAATCACAGACTAATGCAATATTTTGCGAATAAAAAAATTACCTCAGAAAGTATCTCCTTAGATTCCGTACATTAATCCCAACTCCTACATCCTCACTGATGAGACGCGGGTTCCACATGATAAGAGGCCTTGGCTAGCAGTATATGAGGAAGTACCGTCAGATAAACTATCCTTCCTAGCTTGAGGTGTATGAACATG